AAGATCAATCACACAGCAACACCTGGAGATACCTATAGACACCTGGAGAATAAGGGGAATGGGGGGAAAGGGCTATGTCAGCTTGTCTCCACTGCCAACAGTAACACGATGGCCAGCACATAAATCAATATCAGTGGAGTGAAGGTGTCAGTGTAATTGCTGGTGAGTCCTGTCACCTGCTGTCTGCCTTCCCAAATCATTTTATCACTCCTTCTCCCTTCTCTCAATTTCTCTAGCAGTTAACCTGACCATCTGGCTGGTACATGGTACAACCGTACTCCTGATCCATTATCATGATTGTGTGATTGCTTCCTGACCACACACCCTCCCTTCCTCCGCAAAGAAGCCAGGCTTCTGAGGGTTACCAGCTGCTGAGGCTTATACTAGGCTTTGTCCAACCCTACCCCACATTCTGCATCATATCCCCCTAAGAAGAAATAGTCCCTTTCCTGGTTAGGCTTCCAGACACTTCAAGCCTAGGGCTCTCAGATGCCCACGCCATGTGGCAAAGACCTTCCCCGCTCACCGGATTTCTCGCTCTTTCCTTGCAGTGAGTGCTCCAGACACAAGTCCTAAGCCAGGAGGCCAGAAGTTTGGTGGAGGAAATGAAGGGGCCCTGAAACCTCAGGGCTGGCAAAGGAGTGACCCAGTGGCTGAGGTTGGCTCCAGCTCAGTAAGAAGGGAGGGAAGTGGAGCCAAATAAGGTGCTCACCTTGAAATGGGCTCCAACTTGAGGGCCCTCTGGCCTGCCAGCCCAACTTCCGAATCTCGGATCTTCACATTTTCTGCCACTTTGTCCCGAGGGAAGCTGGAAAAAGAATTGGGCTCAGAGCCCCTGGAGATCCGGGAAGGGTCCCAGATGGCTTTGATTGAGTTCTGTGGCTCCATCCCAGGCCTTGGAACCAAACACCTGACATCTAAAACCTGCCCCCTGGCTCTGGATGATCTTATACTTAGGATGCCCTATTTGCTCCTCCGTAGAACTGAGATGACGACAATGTTTTTACTCCTAAGATTATGGCACAGTCCAAATGTGATATTGCATTTAACTTTTTAGCAAGGCCCTAAATATTAAGCCCTACATAAATGGTAGCTACAATGATAATGTTATCTATGAAAGAGATGAAAGAGAACGGGCAAAAATGAAGAAGTGGAAAGAGGGATCATGTTTGAGGAAAGCCCCAAGACCACAAGACTTGTTGACAATGTAGGTATGGGATGTGATCAAAAATGCTTGCAGGGATTTTAATCTGGAAGAGATTTTAGTCTGGATGGTGGAGCTGGGAACAGAAAAGAGACAATATGAGAGACAGAGGCAGATCTGGGGTGGAGACAGGCAGAGGGGGGATTCCCTGTGACTTGTTTCTATGGAGCTGGGTTTGAGGGACTGTGTCCAGCAGTTTGACTTCCAGATTTGTGCTCCTGAGAGACAGTAGGAAGAGAACTGATGATGGTGGAATGGACCAAATAGAGGTAACAGCAACACTGAAACAGTGGGCACAATTGCCAAGTGGACAATGTGGAGGTGAAGAGGATGGAAGATGAAATTATAAGAGAACTGTGCCATCTGGATAGCACAGGAGAAAGAAGAGCAAGGAGCTGTGGAAGGGTGGAAAGAAAATCAAGATGCCATAAAAAGCTAAAAATAAAAACAGCCTATAGGACAGAGGACAAGGGGTTGTCTGGGATTACAGAAGGGGTCAGACTGCAAAGAATAACATAGGGGGATTCCTTGAGGTGTTGGAGTTGTTTTGTGTCCTCGTAGTAGTGGTGATAATAAGAATCTATGCATGTGTTAAAACTAGTAGGGCTGTATATTTAAAAAAAAAAGAATTGCTTTCACTATATATAAGTAAATAAGTAAAAAGGAGAGCCTGTAGGAAACATGATAAAAGACCAGTGGACATGATCAGGGGTCAGACATTCCAAAGAGCAACTGTTCTTTCTCCCATCTTTAGAATTCCCCATCCCATTTCTCTTCCTCATTCTTTCTCCCCTATCTATACAGAACACTAAGGAGAAAACCTATCAGACCTGCTCTTCCTTAGACCTTAAAGCAAGTCTCCTAATCTAACTCAAATCAAGATAATTCATCAAGTCACTACTCTCACAGTTTGAAGGACAAGGGGAAAAGGAATTGAGGGCACCGTATTTCATCCTCTCAAGAATCATTATTATCTCCACCTTATGTTTTAGAAGTTATGTAGAAGAGTTAGGAGCATGGACTCTGCAGCCAGAATGCCTTGGGGTCATACTCCTGTCCTCAATAGCTGTGCCAGGTTGGTGAAGTCCCTTAACCTCTCTCTGTGTCTGAGTCCCCTTACCAGTGACATAGGGGCACTAGAAGTGTCTACCTCACAGGGCTGACGTGAGGAGCTGGACTTAACATGTGTAAAGTACTTGAAACCGTGCTAAACTCATATACATGCTATGCAATTTAAAAAAAAATTACAGATAAGAAATCAAGTCTCAGGGATGTTAGGTAATTTGCCCAAGGTATACCAAATATACATATTGGGAGAGTGTTATCAAAATCTGAAATTCAAAATTCTTTCTGTCTTTAAAGTGTATAATGGGGAGCAGAGTGTGACAGAAATGAAGAGTTTGTGTTTTAGTGTGAAAAATGGAAAGCGATAAAGTAAGGAAATGAATGTTTTGGAAAAGAAACGGTGGTAGAAATGAGAAATGAGAAGAAAGCCATGTTTGAAGCTTTTGTAAGCACAGGTGGAATTCCCATGTGAAAAATAATCAAAGACAGAAAAGAAGTGGGGATGTATGCCCAATTTTCATTAGATTTTTTTACTCCATACTTCTCTAGGATGGCACCAGACATTAAATATGGCAGAATATCTCAGCTGAATGAAAACACCTGGGAATAGGATTTGTTTATAGCATAATTTATCTGCAGCACACAGTGAATGCACAGATAACTTGATATGAGTAACCAGTTAAAGTTGTAGGATGCATGACAAGCTCAAAACTGATAATTTATGATTACAGCAAGTCCTCATTTAACATCGTCATTAGGCTCTGGGAAACTGCGACTTTATGTGAAATGACACACTGTATGCCCAAGGAACTTAACTCTTGCTTATATCAATTAGCTCATGGCAAAATTAGTTTTGTACAGTACGTTGTTTCACTTAAAAGTCGTGGTTTCCAAGAAACTATCGATGACGTTAAGTGAGGACTTACTGTATGTGTGTGTGTGCGTGCGCGTGTATTTATGCGTGTGTAGGCTAGTCACCTGTTGTCAGTTCAGTAGCACTACCACTTCCTTATAAAGATGAGATCTATTTTTTCCCAGAGCCCCTGTATGTTCTGCATTAGCATTTGCCAGTGAGAAATATGCATAAGAAACTTGGAAGGTGGAAATAAAGTGGTAGTCATTGTTTCCTGGAAGATCATGGCAGTCAGATAGGACTTTGTAGTATCTCCACAAGGTCCCACTTGTAGATCGTATCTGACCTAGGAATTCTGCAATATCTCCGTAAATTACAACTTTAGTATCATCGTGGTGACAAGACATGGCATCTTGTCAGACTGCCCCACATCAATTAGCAACTTCTCTCCTCCTTGCAATGCTTTACACTGATATCCATCCTCTAGTTGCAATCTTACAGTTGCAATCCTCTGCTCTTCTCATTGTTATTGAACCCCTAATTCTTAATTAAATACCTTATTTCTGTAACATTTGTAGTGGCACTGTTTTCCCGACTAAATATGGGCTGATACTATGTGTACATATCCTAGATCATCCAAGACAGCCCCAATTTCATTCATAAAGCTCATATTTTCCTGAAGAATCCCTGGCATTCCAACACTACCAGTATGCCTAAAACTCACAAAAACAGACCATACCAAATGCTGGTGAGGATGTGGAAATAGGAAGAGTCCTTCATTGCTGGTGGGAATGCAAAATGGTACAGTCACTTTGGAAGGCAGTTTGGCAGGTTCTTACAAAGCTAAACATAATCTTACTATATAAATCCATCACTTGTGCTCTTAGGTATTTACCCAGTGGAGTTGAAAATTTATGTTCACACAAAAACCTGTACACAAAGGTTTATAACAGCTTTATTCATAATCTTCAAAAACTGAAAGCAACTAACAGGTCTCTCAAAAGGTGAATGAATAAACACATTGTGGTATGCCCATAGAATGGAGTATTATTTGGCAATAAAAAGAAATGAGCTATCAAACCACAAAAACACACAGAGGAACTTTAATTACATATTTCTGAGTGAAAGAAGCCAGTCTGAAAAGGTTACAGATGATAAGACTGCAATTATACGATGTTCTGGAAGAGGCAAAGCTATAAGTATCAGTGATTTCCAGGGTTTGAGGATTCAGGGAGAGATTAAATAGGTGAAGCATAGATTTTAGGGTGATGAAGGTATTCGGTGTGATAAAACCCATAGAAGTTTACAGCACAGAGTAAACCTTAATATATAGAAATAGAAAAACTCATTTAGGAGATCAATTAATCAAATAACATGATGTCTGAGATACCCCTCTTGCCCTACTAATCTATAAAAACAGTGAATATTACCCTCTGAATTTCAGGACACATAATATGACAGTTTTAGTAGTATGAAGATTTGGGGAATTCTAAAATATTTTGTTTGAGATCATTTTTAATCAAGCATTTAGCTTCTAAGTTAACATTAACTGTAGCTCCAAGTTTGATTGCACCACACGTTTTTCTAAGCACTTACTTTGCATATGTCAGATATTGGGGATAATGAGATGAACAAGTTTTGGCTCCTGCCCTGTAGCAGATGAATTTAGGGAATAATAAAGAAGGAAAAAAAATCAATGGTTACAAAACTATTACTGAATCTTATAATTCTTCACATTGCTCGACTTTAAAATAGGGGTCATAGTCCACCTCATTGAGTTGTTAGGAATAATTTGTAAATGTGGTTAGAAAAATGCCCAGCACATAGGAAATGATCAATAATATTCATTATTATTATTTTTGCAATTGGCCATTAGAAAACTTACCATCAATGGCTATGGAATAGGAACTCCATAGGCAATTCTCTTAAAGCTAATAAATAGGCCTAATTCTCACAAGTCCTTAATCCTTAACACTCATCATTTCTACATCCATCTGACTCATAAATACTTCTTCATACCATGCTTTATATCTTTGCTTCATATCAAGGAGGATGGGCTCCATAAGACACCCAAACTCAATGACACTACAAATATCATTTTCGTAGGTGTAAGCGAAGCCGGCAGTGTGCATGGCCACCAAATAACCTTTTGAATCAAACACTGGGGATCCAGAAGCCCCGAAGTAAAAACAGGTGTCATAGGTAATCACATCAGCATCGTGAATTATTTTCTCGAAACTTCTTGGCGTGTACATATGGACATACTGTGCACATTTCTTTTCTCGTTGATCCTGAGAGATTACAGCACAAGCATCATGAGACTTTCTGTCTCCATTTGGATGGCCAACAATATGTATCAACCCACTAAGGGGCACAGGATGGAGCCCATGATGTAGTCCCACAGGTACTTCCTGTCCATTTTCCTTCAGCTTCAGGATAGCATAGTCAAGAGTTTCATCAGATACCTCAAACCAAGGTTCAACGAAAAAGCAGTTCTCCTCTTTCTCTGAGGAATCTTCATAACCAAATGTCACCCTGACACACTGACCAATTATGGCTGCCCACTTACTTGGCTCTATTCCTTCTCCCACAATGTTATTTATTACATGCCGACAAGTTAAAATGAACAAGCCTTTAAAAACAAAGCAGGTGGCAGAACCCGTAATTCCATTATAATCCCAGAATATGTACCCAACTGAATCACTGAGATGTGAAAGACGTTTTATCATTTTAATTGGAGTAGAGTTTTTTGTTACTTTCCCAAAATTTGTTTTGTGCAAGTCAAATAATGATGTTTTCCCCTTTCTTTTTTTCATTTCTTTTCTGAAATTTTCTCTGATTTTTTCACTTTCTTTTTTCAAACTGGGGTACTGGTCTGCAATGTATTCCCTCAACACACAGGTGTTTCTTTTCCCCAACTCAGAATTCTCAGCAGCTGCTGGCCCGGGGCCCATTCTTTTCACAACCTCAACCTGAAAGAGCTTGCCCTCTAATTCATCAACTGGCTGGGTGCTTTCTAAAATGGTGTTCAGGTTTTCAATGAGTTTCCAATCATCATTCTCCAAACAGGAAAGAAACCTGCCATCCTTGCACAGAGCATCCCTGATGGTTTCTCCTTTGAAAGCATAGACACAGAGTTTGTACCCTTCTTTGTGAAGCTGCCCGCATTTAACGATCTTTTTCTTGTACTTTCCAGTTCCAATTGCATGAATGTAAAATTTGACACACTCAGGAGATGATACCTTGTCGTGCCGGCCAAATAGTTGGTTACTTTCTTTCTGTTTATTTTTACTTTGGGCAAATGTAATTACCACGTGGCAGCTTTCAGGAAAACAAGTGAGGGGCATTCCAAGGTTGATGAACCCTTCGATTCCTTCTTGGCCACGTACCAGCATTTCTCTGCCTTGATGAGTTTCTATTTCTTCTTTGACAGCCTCGAGAGTGTTGAGAGCCATGTATAAGCGATCCTCCTCACTCCCTGTGAGGGAGTATTTCATTTTTTTGTTTTTCCTCTGGTTTACATCCAAAGTGACATTAATCGTCTTATTTGGGGGCATGGTCTGGTCTTCTGGATTTTTCTTAGGTGAATGGAAGCTTTCAGCCTTGGTGTTAGTCATGTCTCTCAGACCTCCTTTCGATTTCATCTTCATCGGAGAAGTAATGGAATTATTCTGTTGTTCTTTAGGGACCTAAAAGCAATGTTAGATATTCTGAAACTTTATATGCAACCCTAGTTTCTCTTTTTAGTATGCAATTCACAAAGTTTCTCTGGGAAACTCATAACTTATCAAAGTGAGTAGAATTAAATCAGTGTTTGACTTGGGGTCCAAAATTAAAGCTAAGCTACCTGTCACATCAGTCAAATAAGCTCTTGATATCACTACACTGGCAGATTTTCCTGAGAAATATGAGGGAAGAAACACAATTTTTTTCCAGATGCATCAAAAACAGAGATTCTTGACTTTACCATCTCTATCTGAAATAGTGTCATTTCAGGTCTTGTTTACTCTTTTCAGCTATATAATTTTTATATTTTCTGAGCATAATGATGGATCATATGAAAAAAATTTTTTCTTGAAACACTGAATTCAGCAACAATGAGTTACCATGATTTATCAGGCATTAAATATTTTTTAAAAACCCCATATTATTTAACTAATCATTTAGTCATAATAATGTAGTTTTCTAATAATAAATACTTTGAGTCACCCAGCATATATCATAGAAAAAGCTCAAATTATTTCCTCTGTCACATGAATTAATCCCGAAATCCTATAAAATGAGGGGGAACAAGTATGGCTTATCGGATGGAGTCTTTCTGGTGGAGAAAGTTTTTCCAGTTTTTCTTGTATGTGCCCTTTTTAGGGCCACATAATAACCAAAAAGTGAAGTGAGTATCAGAATTCCAAATCCTAGTCCAATATTTTTTTCCATTAGACATCTGTATATATTATTTTTTTGTAAATGTATCCATGAGTTCCATTTTTATAGGGTATTATCTTAAGAACTAGGGGTCAGAGGGAGGAATTTAAAAAGGAGGATTAATCAAATAGCAGAAAGTGGATGAAATATTAAGGGCATATGATTCCTGTGTCTAAAAGATACATTTGTCCCAAGTCATATTATCATAGCATGAGTATCAACAGATATGGGTTCCTATGCCAGCAATGCCCCTTACTGGTAATGAGAATAGCAATGCCAGGAATGTTGTAAAGATCAAGTGTAACATCATTGTGTGACAATGCTTAGCACAATGATTGGCATGTGATAAGTTAATTTTGTTTTCTTTCTTGGTAATAATACTAATATTCTGGATCAAACAACAGATAAACAAAAAAAGCTAAGGTAATATAAATTTACTCTGGGCATACATACAAACTGTTAAAGAACATTCTTTTAGTCTAATGTTGTCAGAAACACCCTTGTCATGCACCCTGTTGGAACACTGTAATAGACTCCCAGCTTATTAAAATGACTCTTGGGTAGATATGAACACTTTTGAAAGGGGAAAAAGGATAATATGTAGTTATTTGTTCAGTCTGTCATGCAGTAGGACAGAGAAAAACATAACTAGGCTTGCCTTGGATATTCTAGATACCCGGATGTTCTAGTTTTCTAAACCAGGACAAATAAAACAAGTTGAAGGGCCAGGTGTGGTAGCTCATGGTTGTCCTAGCATTTCAGGAGGCCAAGGTGGGAGGATGGCTTGAGGCCAGGAGTTTGAGACCAGCCTGAGCAAGTGCGAGAACCCGTCTCCACAAAAAATAAAAAAAAAAATATTAGCCAGGAATGGTGGTGTATGCTTCTAGTCCCAGCTACTCAGAAGACTGAAGCAGGAGGATTGCTTGAGCCCAGGAGTTTGAGGTTGCGGTGAGTATGATGACAACACTGCACTCTAGCCTGGGCAGCAGAGTGAGACCCTGCCTCACAGAAAAAAAAAAAAAAAGAAAACAAGGTGAAGGATTTTAAATTGCATTCTCAAATGCTTATTACCATTCTTCTCGATAAGTCAAAGGAGCATTTTAGACACAGAAAAAAAATACTATGATTTGATATGGTACACAGCTCGATTAGTAGAAAAAGCCCTGAGTCAGTACGTCAGTAAACATACGTCCAAGTCTTCACTTCACTCCTGCTTTAAGCAGCAATTCATTTCTCTTCTCTCCTCGTCATAAACAAATCGAGGATGGCAAAATCTTCCATGCCTGCCTAATAAGGTTATGGTAGGAATAAATATATAAAAATTGTTTTATAAAGGGTAAAGCACTATTTAAATGTAGGTTATTATCATGATTGAATAGATCAGCCACATTTGGAATGGCATATATTTTCATGCTATGAAACACCTTTAATTTTGTTTTTCTTTCATAGTTTAGTGTAATATATTGTATTTGACTTTTATTGTTATTCAAGAAATAGTACAATAGCTTTTTATTAGATTCCTTGATATGGCTGAGATTTGTATTACAACTCCCTTCTGTGCAGCCACCCTCCAAAATAGAAAGGATAAAATAGATGAGAAAGATTTTAACTTATTCAATAATGCCAGCACACAATGAGGTAATTTGTTGGCAGAAAGAACTATAAAACCCAATGCCAAGGATGGCTAAGGCTAATATCAGTATACAAGCAACTCCTTGTATCTGTGGGTTTCCCATCTGTAGATTTAACCAACGGCAGATCAAAAATATTTGGGAAATAAATATTGCATCTATACTAAACATATATAAACTTCTGTTTCTTGTCATTATTCCCTAAATAATATAGCAGTATAACAACTGTTTATATAGCAATTTACCTTATATTAGGTAGTTCAATCAATCTAAAATGATTTTTTTTTTTTTTTTTTTGAGACAGAGTCTCGCTTTGTTGCCTAGGCTAGAGTGAGTGCCATGGCGTCAGCCTAGCTCACAGCAACCTCAAACTCCTGGGCTCAAGCGATCCTTCTGTCTCAGCCTCCCAAGTAGCTGGGACTACAGGCATGAGCCACCATGCCCGGCTAATTTTTTTATATATATTAGTTGGCCAATTAGTTTCTTTCTATTTATAGTAGAGACGGGGTCTCGCTCTTGCTCAGGCTGGTTTCGAACTCCCGACCTCGAGCAATCCATCCGCCTCAGCCTCCCAGAGAGCTAGGATTACAGGCGTGAGCCACCGCGCCCGGCTAAAATGATTTTTTTTTTGAGACAGGGTCACTTTGTTGCCCAGGCTAGAGTGAATGCCATGGCGTCAGCCTAGCTCATAGCAACCTCTAACTCCTGGGCTCAAGTGATCCTCCTGCCTCAGCCTCCCGAGTAACTGGGACTACAGGCATGCACCACCATGCCCAGCTAATTTTTTGTATAGATTAGTTGGCCAATTAATTTCTTTCTATTTATAGTAGAGACAGGGTCTTGCTCTTGCTCAGGCTGGTTTTGAACTCCTGACCTTGAGCAATCCACCCACCTCGGCCTCCCAGAGTGCTAGGATTACAGGCGTGAGCCACCGTGCCCAGCCTCTAAAGATGATTTAAAGTCTACAAAAGAATGTGCATAGGTTATACACAAATACTAAGCCATTTTATATTAAATAGAAAGGACTTTGAGCATCCATTGATTTGGGTATCCGAGGGGGTCCTGGAACCAATCCCCCATAAACACTGAGGGACGAATGTATTCCATAAGTAGAATTTACAGACATACCTGAGAAAAATAGTGGTCGATTTTCTTATTATGCTTTGCATTAAACCGGATCTCTGATCTGCGCTTCTTACTGCTCATGATGACTTGAAGATGAACAGATGGTTCAGCTGAGACACTAATTTCAAAAAGGTTCAAGTTACAGCAGTTTCTTCATAGCTATCATTAGTTGTGCAAAGATTAACTGGAGTCTCATGTCCCACCTTTTCCTTTGAGCTCCAGACTCACTCTCTCTGGAGATGCTAACTTAGCAAGTAGATGGTTTATTCACCAAGGATAATCACCTCAACAATAAAAGCTCTCTTTTACACAAAGCTACTTGTCAGACACTATACTAAGCACTTTACACAAATTACCTCTAATTGCCAATCCCTACGAGTTCCATGGAAAGTGGGTATATGTGCATTCTATAGATGGGAAAAGTATAGGTTAGAGAAGGTAGGTGATCTGCCCAAGGTCAGAGCGACATGGCAGAGCTAGAATTCCCATTCAAGTAATAATACCCTGCAGAAGAGTGTGCAGTTGGAGAATTCAAAAAGCTGTTCTATTTACACTGATGTTAAATTCTGGTCTGCATTTAAGAGGGAGATGGCAAGGGATGGTAAAATGACAGGGAAGTGGGTGGGAAAAGAACTGGACAGTACCATGATGACAAAATAAATTTGGAATGAGACTTCAAAAAGAATTCTGGAATGTCTGCCTGAGGTTTATGGTGAGGAACCTTAGTGGCTGCATTAAGTTTTTTGTTTAGAGGGGCATTTTTTCCCTCTATCTCTCCTCTCATGTCTCCTTAGAAGAGAATGAACAATTTAAATAAAATAGTAAAATCTCCAGTAGAAGGATGAATAGCACTGGGGGCAGTAGCCATATCTGTCTTCAGTACCTCACCATCTAAAACAATGTCTGGCACAGGGCAGGCCCTCAGTATAGACACATTTACAAAGATACATTCACTGAGGGAATGGAGTAGGCATCCGATGTACTATGCCCTGTTGTTCTAAGTGCTTTTCATAAACTACCTCATGTAATTCTCGCAACCCTATAAGATAGGTATTACTGTCCCATTTGGATATTAGATCATTGTCTCACAAGATAAAGAACTTGAACAGAGATGTTAAAATTTTCCTTAAGGTCATGATGCTCCAGAGAGTGTACTTTTGAGACTTTTCATTATGAACATTTTCTAACATAAAAAAATAGAAAATAGTACAATGAACCTGCACATGTCTATCACATAGTTAATTACTATTCATTTTTTGTTACAAACTTACATCATCTTTTTATTTGACTAGATTCTTTTACAATTAAAGACATCATGACATTTTAACCCTTAATTTTCACTTTCCATCTCTCAAATTAAGGACTTTTCTTATATAATCACAATACTAATTTATTCACACCAAGATCCAAGTAAGGGACACATGTTGCCTTGAATTATGTCTTTTAAGGTTCTTTTAGTCTAGAGAAAGAACTGATTTGTTGAAGTGAACAGAGAAGTTGTTTCTATAGGATGTTCACCCTCCTGGGTTGCTTCTTTACACTGTTGTTTAACTGATGTTCTATCCCATGTATTTCTTGTCAAGTGGAAGGTATCTATAGACTATGTTCATTTTCCTAACCATTCCACTATGGAACAGTAGCCCTGGCTGTCTCATTCACTGGTAATGAGCTACTAAGGAAATCCATTACCCTCTGAGCCTTAGGTTCCTGTTTGTAAAAAGAGGCAATGAGCCGGGCGCGGTGGCTCACGCCTGTAATCCTAGCACTCTGGGAGGCTGAGGCGGGTGGATTGCTCGAGGTCAGGAGTTCGAAACCAGCCTGAGCAAGAGCGAGACCCTGTCTCTACTATAAATAGAAAAAAATTAATTGGCCAACTAATATATATATAAAAATTAGCCGGGCATGGTGGCGCATGCCTGTAGTCCCAGCTACTCGGGAGGCTGAGGCAGGAGGATCGCTTGAGCCCAGGAGTTTGAGGTTGCTGTGAGCTAGGCTGACGCCACGGCACTCACTCTAGCCTGAGCAACAAAGTGAGACTCTGTCTCAATAAAAAAAAAAAAAAAAAAAAAAGAGGCAATGATTCTAAATAAGAAAATGAATATCAAAGTACTATATCAATGTCAGTATTTATAGACCATCTGAGTTCAAATATCAAGTCACCATGTACTAGCTACATGACCTTGGGCATATTAATTAACTACTCATTGCCTCAATTTTCTCACCCTAAATGGGAGTGGTGTTAGAATCAACCTCCATTTTTGTAAAGACTGAAAAATGCAGAGCCTTTAGAACAGTGCTTGGCACGTGATAGGTTGCCCAATAAATATCACGCTGGTGTTATTTATCAATATCAACACACCAACCATAGGAATACTTTTTAAACAGTAGAGAACCTAGGAAAACAAAAATAGATATATCATTGAAGAACTGGGCTATGCTGTAAGATCCTTGAGCCAACAATTGCCCAACAATTAAGAAAGTTTGGCAATTCCCTGTGTCTTTCATGATGATGTCTCATCTAATGTAGTTTGGGAGAGGACACAAGTGCTTCAGGAGTGACTAACAGACACAGGCTAAAAAAGGAAGTGAAAGTGGACAGAAAGAAACATGCATTTTGTAGGCCACTGGCTTGTACTGGAGCAGTCACAGTGGAAACGGGCAAGAGGTTAAGAAAACCCCCCAATATTTTTCCCCTTCCCACACTGTTTCCAGTATCCAGACTGAACCATGTTGTGAGAAAATATAAAATGCCCTTAGCTATCCTATTCCAATCTGTCTTATAGTTGAAAGTCAATGTTCTATTTACCTTGACTTCCTACAGTAAAGGGATAGAGCAACACAGTCTGTCCTGAGTCCCATCTCCAGCCCACCTGGCAGCTCCCCTTTGGAATTTCTGTCTTTCTCAATCTCTCTTTCCCATCTTCTCTCTCCCTCCATTCCTCCCTCTCTCCTTCCCTCCTTCCTTTCTTCCCTCTTCTCTCCTCCCTCTCTCTCCCCTTCAGGCGTTCCTGAGTCAAGGATCAATGCTGACCCTAAGCCTTATCCAAGCCCAACACCCACCTCACCCAAGCCCACCAACAAGCACATGAAGTAGCCACTGAAATAAAACCCATGTCTTCCTTGCCTCCCAGATGGGCAGTGCTGTCAGGTCCTGGCCTCCAGGACCCATGTCCCTTCCCCTTCCAGCCCACCCTGCCTAGCACCAGAGCACCAGGGTACTCACCAAGGGGGCTGCGTGCCTTGCCCACCGCCAGCACTTGGGCTCAAAGTCAGCGCCCAATGCAGGTCTGGCTCTTACTGGAGGAAGTGAAGGACTCCAGAGCTCCGCAGGAAACACAGCTAGTCTGGCCAGGGAGAACATGCCCATGTTAGCCAGGATGGGGATTGAGCAGGAAAGGGGGGAAGTGGGGCTAAGGGTTTGTTTTGGATCACCTGCTTTTGGGACCTGTGGTCTGGCAGGCCAATTGCTTACTACCTTCTTTCACTTTCATATGTGCCAGGCCTTACTTCCCACCTGAACACTCCACCCGCCCTCTCTACCGCCATCTCTCACTTCTATGCCTCTCTGGACAGCTGGGGATGCCAGGAGACTGGCTGTTCCTGGGCTCAGGTAGCTCCAGAGCAGAAGTAGGTGGCACTGTTTATACAGACAGCCCCACCAGTCTCAAACAAAACCTTCCGAACTTCTTCTTGGTCCAGAGGCCAGCTTGAGAAACTGACTTCTGGGACCCTCATCTCTTCCCTGTGAACTTTTTCTCTTACACAGTACATTAAAACATGGCAAGGACAGAGACAACTTGTACTGTTGATAGTAATAAGGAAGATTTTCACCAAGCACAAAAGCTTTAAAAATCTGATCAGATAATCAAAAAAGATTCATAGAAAGTTTCTTTACTTCTAGGGATAAAATAAACTCAGCGCTTGGGCAGCTCAACAAAAAGAAAGTGGAGTTCGACATAAGGCAAGATCTACTTTCCCCACCTTTGAGGTCAGAGAGCCCCTGAGGAGGAGGCTGGGGGGACTTCAAGGGGAGACGCTGATTCTGAGTTGAGGGTGTTCTTCTTTGCTGGGGCCTCCTAGAATGTCAAGTGTGGGCTCTCCAAGACACCATTAAAGCAACCTGTCAATAAGACAAAGCTAAGTTTGTCCTCACTGAGGCAATGGAAAACAATAACATTTACTTTTACATTGGCTCGCTCTCTCTCTTTTTTAACCTTTTCAGGGACAACACTCAGTCCCCTTTTCAAGAGTAACAGCAACTGGGTGTACAGGTTTTTATCCACTCTCTCCCCACCGGCCTGAGGTTTCCTTGCACCTGCTGCAGCCAAAGCATCCTGCCAAAACTCCACATCACCCCAGAACCCAAGGGGTAACTCACCTATAGGGGAGTCGCTCCCAAACCAAGCCATCCCTCCCTGCACTTGCCCCTGGGGAACATCTCCCTCCCGGCCACTGGAATCCTCGCACTTTGGAGACTGAACCCGCCCGGGGAACGGGAACGATGATTCTGGCCAACGGAGAGAGAGCGAGCCTGGGTTCTCTTTTCCCCTAAGACACCAACTCGCCTGTTGCAGAAGCCGATTGTCCACGCTCCAGCGGCCAAGCGGAGCAGCGAGAAGGAGCGAGTGGAGAGGCTGAGCCGGGGCAGCGTGCTCGCCCACTCTCCCCTCCTGCAAGCTCCTCCTTTTTGTCGCCAGCAGGACCTTACCTCGCTACCTCGCTGCCCAGCTTCTGTTACCTGGGTTCCCCTGCGCCTGTATATTATGGTAAAAGGCCCGGGTCGCGGACAGACCGGGCTGAGCCGCACTGGAGAGGCCGCGGGAATTCGAAAGACCGGAGTCTGCGCGGCAGGGACGAGGGAGGCGGGGCAGCCGAGGCCGCGAACCGCGCGCGGGAACAGGCCGACGTCGTGGGCGGGAACCGCGCGGCTTCCGCCTGGAGAGCTTCGCTGGCGGGGGCTCGCGGGCGCCCGGCTGGGGCGAGCAGCGTGCCACTCGCTCCCGTGCACAGGAGGCGCTGAGTGGGGATGAGGGGGCTTGGCGATTTGGGCACTTCCCAGGGGACAGCATCCCCAGCAGGAGGAATACCCCCTCCCCACCCCGACTATGACAGTCAGGAAGGAGCCACAGATGCAGGCAGAGTGAACGCCCTTATCATAAGTTGATTTCTCCAAACGTGCAGACGTTCACAATGCAGATGAAGGTGACAGGGATTCCAGTAATACGCATCTCAAAGCTTATGTTCCAAGAAGATAGGAAAAGGCTTGCAAGGTGGGCTGCTCTTTAAGGACCTACGTTCTGAGCACGTGTGCAAGTATTCAACGCTGTGTTGGAGGAGATCGTGGTCACAAAGCTGACAACTTCTACGCAATGTATATGATGTATATAAAGTGATAGGGTGGAAAACTGTGTTGGTAACTACAGTACATGTGGGAATTTTGAGGAACTCTCCTTAACGTACATCCAGTACACCCAGAGTAGCTAAACTTATTGCTTCATCTTCTGTGGGTTCCCTGGAGTTTGGACACAGTAGCCTTAAAAAAAAAAAAAAAAAAAGGTATGAATGCTGAGACGTTTTCTATGAAAGTCACTTTTGGAATCTGCTCTCCTCTGTATTCAGGAAGGATAATCTAAGCTAGTTTTTGAATTTCAAACAAGAGCAGCAATAAGTCTCTTACTCTGGAGGCAATAATAGAACATTATTGTGGACAATCTTTTGTCACTTTAAACTTGAGCGAAGTTAACAGCTTTTGCAGGCCCTTGGCTGCAAGTACCCATGCAGGACAGGATGTGGTTAACCAGAATTCATAGATTCAACAGGTGTGATGAGACAGTCGAAATTTATAAATTGTGGTAGCTCCGACATTTATAAATTGTGGTAGCTCCGTGGGGCAAGAGGGAAAGAGTGTTTGAAATCCCCACCAAAAAAATGCAGAGTTTACTGACAATGTCAGAACCTATGGTTTGAATCAACAAATATTTACTTAATGTTAACCATGCACAAGGCATTGTGCTTGGCGCTATGAGGGTAAAAATACATGAAGACGCAGTCCCTGCTGTGAACAGAGGTGTAACCTGTAACAGACTCAGACCGAAATAAACCCTGCTTACATAAAAAAAAAAAGCAACAACCAAGGAAACCACAAACTGTATAAAAGTTTCACCACTTGCTGTCATTCCTAGAATCTTTAGAAGTTTCTACACCCTTGAGAGCAGTGTGCAGTGATCACCACAGAATCAGAATTTGGCTGATTCTTTTTTCATTGTGGATTCTGGAGCTGTAATCATCGCAATGACCGTAAGAGATGTTGAGGAATCCTGGGGTTGACATTGCCCAACAATCTGAGGACACTGTTTTGGAGAGCTAACCTGGGGACTCCAGACACTAAGCAGCAGCCTGCCATTAGAGCTGAGTCATTCATACTTGGTATGCTTTTGAGATGTTGCCTGGAAATTAAGAAAAGAAACTCAAAAAGCTGCAAAGAAGAGCAACATTTTCCTGTTTGGAACAAGCACTGGTGTGTTGAAGCCACTGCATGTAAAGGTACCATGGAGTAAGATCTGAGATGATAAAATAATACAAGTGGGTAATCAACTGAGAATGTGTTGGTGCAGATGCGAGGCATTTTCTATGGCTTTTTCATTTCTCTTTCTCTTTTCCTTCCTTCTTTCTTTCTTTTCTTTTTGCCTCTTTTACATTTCAGTGTATAAGCAAATAGTGATTTAATAGACAGTAGGCTTAACAGCACTTTCTAAAACATGGATGTTAAGAATCCAACCTACTGATAAAATTTGTTTCCAATCTACAGGGTTTGTTTTTGTTTTTGAAAAAAAGCTCTCTCTGTTGCCCATGTTAGCGTGCAGTGGTGTCATCATAGCTCACCACACCCTCAAACTCCTGATTTCGAATGATCCTCCCTCACAGCCCTCCCAAAGCACTGGGATTAAAGGAATGAGTCACTAAGCCTGGCCCAACCTACAAAATTAAGCTTTATTAGAAAGCTTATTCAAATGATTTTGATACATTGAAATATTAGTGCACAAGAATAAAAGGTTATTATTACAGAGGATATAAAATGTATTCCTACAACTAAATCTACTATGTCACAAGGTATCTATTATCTGTGCAACTAAATTTATATAGCAAGATATGTATTACATTCTTTCTGAAATATTTATGCTATTTTGTATAAGTTTAATCATATTTTAAAATATTTCTGGTTTGACAAATTGGGTGCTGGTTTATTGGAGAAAAAGTATACAATAACAAACAATTTTCAAATCTTATACATAAGCAATGAAATAAATTTTGGCTTTAGGTATTAGAAAAATAATCATTTTTTTTTTGATCAAAGGTTACCATCATGTTTTTTCTTCAGTTTTCTACATCTTTGCTATTTTCTTAATTTATATTACTAACTAAAGTTCCCTACTTTAAAAAAAGATGTAAGTTTGAGATTTATTTTTCTGTAACAACCCTTGGCTCTTGTTTTTTCTTTAAATTTCAGGCGAAATGAAGTCTTAATTTCAAATTACAAAATATAGCTTGTAAGATCTAAACCAAATAAAATTCACACTCTCAAGACTACAAACAGGTTTTGAAAAGCTACATTAATCATTAAACTTATTTATTAAGTCTAACAGTTTCTTGTTTTAGAGACCAGAGTTTTTATAATTACAATGAAGCTGCTATTCTCTAAACATAGCCTGAGTTCCTTGTCAATATTTTATTTAGCATGCTGTTTCTTAGTTCTTAGAATAGGTCTACAGGGGACAAGTCTTTTCCAGCGTAGCTCCAAATGTTTTTTTCCTCTACATTTAATCGTTTAATTTGCTGTCAGTATGTAGCTTTTTTTTTTTCTTTTTCCTTTTTGAGAACTCCTTCCTTGAAGGGAAGAAATTACTTCCTACATGGAGGATCAAATATAAAGGTAACAGCATGGGATGAATTTTCTTCCACACCCATATAACACATTTTTATTTCTTGCCACTTGCTTTTTATGTAGTTGCACCATTAAAACAGAATGGACTTAACACAGTTTCGTTATTACATATAATTCCTGAGTTTGTTATTCTGCTGCAGAAATGAATTCTATAATTATACTAAAAGCTTACATTCTTATCTGATTTATTGGAAAATATCTAAAAATAATGCTTTTGTGGCTTTTCATAGGTTTGTAGTCCATAAACATTAATTTTACTCAATCTCTCATTTTTATGGCAAATTTCATTATGGGTAACACATGAACAATAATACACATGGGTATTCTGTGATAACTGGTCTCTTTGGAGAATATTTATTATCATTCTTGAATATGATACTCTGGCTAAAAGAGTCATAATTTGATAACATACCTATAAGAAATTAATATGCAATAGCATATTTAAATTGTAACCTCATCCACATTCTATAACAAGGACTTCTTACAGGAAAAGATTATATCATGCACGAAGATGCCTTGTTTTATATTATTACTTCACAGTTTATTTTAAAAGCCATAACCACTTTGTAAAAAAATAAATATTAAATAAACAAAAAATACAGGTTCATCATATTCTACACAAAGTTTCTTTTTTTGTTTATTTAATTCTTCTTCTTCTTCTTCTTTTTTTTTTTTTTTTGAGACAGAGTCTCGCTTAGTTGCCTAGGCTAGAGTGAGTTCCGTGGCGTCAGCCTAGCTCACAGCAACCTCAGACTCCTGGGCTCAAGCAATCCTGCTGCCTCAGCCTCGAGAGTAGCTGGGACTACAGGCATGTGTCACCATGCCCGGCTAATATTTTCTATATATATATTAGTTGGCCAATTAATTTCTTGCTATTTATAGTAGAGACAGGGTCTCGCTCTTGCTCAGGCTGGTTTTGAACTCCTGACCTCGAGCAATCCCCCTGCCTCAGCCTCCCAGAGTGCTAGGATTACAGGCATGAGCCACCATGCCCGGCCAATTATTCTTAATTATCAAAAGCATTGTAAACAAATACTTATATCATAAAGCAACATGTGTGATCAGGTTAAAAGTGCCACTGTTACTGGTATATAGGTTTTTCTTATGACTTCTTTATAGTATTTAGAAGGTGGGGAGGTGGTGATGTGGGATTCTGCAGCAAAGCCCAGCTTGGCCATTTGACTACTTTTGCTAAACTAGCTAAGATGTACATCTTCCCAGGGAACGAGTAGGCAGTGTGTGTCTGTGTCATGATCCACGAAATGTACCTGTCGCGAATGCTCCATAAATGGTAGGTAACCTTTGTCATTGTTACTACTCGAACTAGTACCATGTTACTCTGTTTTGGTGTATAGTTGCCTAGACAGTTGGGCATGATGTTTGGGTTTTGGATAAGTATTGCCAAATTACTCTCCCAGCAGCAGGAAGAGATGACTCATTTCAATTTTAGATCAAAGGTGTTGGGAGATCAAGATTTCTAAGAGTGAGATCACAGAGACTCCAGCTCCGCCCAAGACCAGGAAGGCAAAGAACCTAAGGGGCTTCCACTAAGGCTCTGAAGGGCGCTGCCCACCCTGGCCCAACTCCATAGGCTCCAAGGAGGCGGCTGCTGGCAGGCTGGGCCCTCTCTCTTTCCAGAAGGGCGAAACTCACCGCCCCCGCTTAGTTGCAGCCTGAGGCCCCAGCGCCAGGACAGCGGGGACAAGTAGGCTGCAGCTGTCTGGAGTGGCCTCCGCCCTTCCTCATACAGCAGGACTCAGAAACCTGCCCTGCTTTTCTCCAGGCCCCGCTGGACTACCTGTCCCTCTTTGATGCTCCCGGGGCACCCGCGATGCTTCTGGACTCGCAGCCCCCGGGAATGAGACCAGCGTGGGCAGCCCCCTTGCAGGGCAGACCCTAGGCTGCCAGCCAAAGTCCTAAGAACTTCGCCCAGCACCGCCATACGTCAAGACGGGTGCAGTGCCGTCAGTGGCCAGTAGATGGCGCCAGAGGATAAGCCTGAGGGAACGCGTGGAGAGGGCGGAGCCGCGGGAGGGATTGACACACCTCCTGCCCAATGGTAGCGCGAAATGGAGATGGCTTCTCCAATCCTCAGTTCTCTGGGGCGGAGCTTGAGCCCTTCTAGAAACTGCTTTTCTCTTGCTCAGTGTTGAGGAGAAGGGAGTAATTCTCAGAGGTGTGAAGTTGGGGAGCTGGAGATTCACTTCCCTGTGCTCTTCTAAGATCCAGCTGTTGGTCTAACGGAGATAGGACTGAGGTTGGCTGAGCCTGATGGGGCGGCCTCACCTCTCTGGGCTAACAAGTAAGGTCTCAGATGGTCTTTCTCTCCCTCACTCATGTTATCCTGGATTATTGTGAAAACCTAGGGGGGTTCCTGGTGCAGGGCTAAGGAGTCTGCTGTTGTTAATTCAGCTGCCAAGTTGAGCGCTGTCCTGAAAGTATCCCGCCAAGTAATAGGAAAACCAGCATTAATATTAACAATGGCTGGATACTTTCCAGAGCAGGCTGGACCCTTAAATATATTTGTTTCAGTTATATATTTTTTTTCTTGGAGCCAAATATATTACATAGTAGGAAGTTTAATTTCCTATATCTCGTTTTTCTCCTTAGCCTTTTGATAGCAGAAAGAAGAGCAAAAGCATCCTGCAATTGGCTTAGTCATTGCAGCAATTGATTTACTTAATTAAAACCCAGCAATTAACGTACTTAGCCGCAGGCCTCCTCCATGCTGGTCATTGAAGCAGTCAAATCACATGACTGGACTGACAAGAATCATTAGCCAGAGGTCATTTTTAGTGGCTGTCTTTTAGTTCTGTTTTAACTGTATAACAGAACCTCACAAAAAGCAACAACAGAACGGGCAAACAGGAACGTGCAGAATGCACTGTATTCTGTTCAAAGGGGATGGACCCTCATGTCATGTCACCAGCAAGCACGGACCAGGCTCTGATTTGCTCTTCTTGGCTGCCTTGATGAAGCTGGATGCAGTTGGTCAGGATCATGCAGCAAAGAGAGAAAGGAAAGGCTGGATGAGACCCACACGTGAGGCCTCACCTTTAGCTGGTGTGTGTGGCTCCAATCAAGTAAGGGATAGCCGTCACTCATCTTCGTTTGATCTGATTCAGACCTATAAACCTGAAGTCATTTTTATTCAGTCTGTTTGGGGGACGTTTTATGTGTGTGCCAGACATAATGTTAAGCATTGAAAATACCAAGAAAAATGTAACGATGTCCTCACCATGCATTAAGTTACAATCTGGTAGGTAAGAAGGACAAATGAAAAGAGTTATATGTTCCATAAAACAGGAATGAATGGGATGCAGAGGCCGCACAGAGAAGGCTCCAGGGATGCTGGCACAGAGGTGGTGATATTTGAGATGCAGATCCCAAATTCAGATGTGCTTGCTGTCGAATAACCCTAGGGTCTAGGCGTCCGATTATTCAACACTGCAGTGGTAAATCGTACCTAAAGTTTAGGTGGAGAATTAATCTTACCATGAGCACTTGGAACCACCATATGTCTGGCCTATTTGGTGGGACCCATCTTTGCTTCAGAGGGGTGGAGGCAGATATCTTTCAGGATTAGGGCCAAGAAGGGCAGGCCTTATTTGCATACTATTAATAAAAATGTTTGCGCAGCCAATTTACTCACCATTAGAAGCTCCCATGAATAGTCTACAGCAGAGATTTATTTGCAGCAGTGAGATCAGGCGATTAGAAATCTTTAATGCATGTGGTAAGGGGGAGTACTGGGCTCCAGCACTGGACAACAGGAACTATGGTTTTATGACAATGTGTAAAGATACAATTTTGCTTAAAGTTACACCTCAATTTGGTCGTGCAATTGTTCCTTTTAGTTTCAGTAAGTCTGAACACAGGAAATGTCAATCTACATGGTCTAGTAGAGAAAAAAATGAACCTAACGCTGAGAGTAAGACCTCAATGTCCTGTTACTTGGGTAGTATGAAAGAAGGTCTGTCTCTTCTTTCAACGAAGGGCCCTTGAGGTGCTTACAGGTAAATAATTATAGTGCAGATCTAGAATTTCTCAATGAATAATTTCTCTGAGCCAGATTTATGGTTTGTGCACAACTAAGAGAGTATCACATATTTGGATATTCCAACCAGTTGCTAGTTGTCAAAGGAGGGTACATCAGCCAGGGTTCTGTGCAGGTAAAGGAGATTTAATGCAAGGGATTACCTGCTGGAAATCTTTAGGATGATAAGAGCCGTGGGATTCAAGAAGCCAACACTGGAATCACAAAGTTCAAGAACACACCCACTTCACTGTAATCCAGGAATCAGGAAGCTGAATGTACCACCACAAATGCCTCTCCACAGTATCAGAGTGCAAGAGTAGACCCTGCAACATTCCTGGCTGCTACTGGAACTGCTGTAGCTGCTTCTGGAAACCCATGAAGCTGGTGGCTAAACACTGACACTGAATGTGGCCAACGCTGCTGTCTCTAGAGAGTGACTTTTCCATGAGCTAGTTTGCCAAAAGATGACACAGCAGAAAACTGCCTGCTTTTTACGTACACCTTCCAAATAACTTCTATTTGGAGGAACCTGATTTATATTCAGAATTTTAGTGCAAATTAGTCTTGAGATATTTAGCTTTGAGCTTTCCAGACTCTGAGCACCAGACAGTGAGGATGGAGAGGAAGCCTCGAGTCACTGCTGCCAGAGAAGGGTTAACAGCTCTTGCTGTACTAGAGGAAAGAAGTGCAATTTCTACTGTCATTTGCAATAGAGGCTGATGTCACAGGGAGCAGGAAGAGAAGAAATGAAGATTAGGAAAGGATTTTGGATTTTTCAGGAACAACACATGTTATTTTCCTTAGGTTTAAAGGTGTATTTCCCCATTATCTATTGGGCAGAGAACAAGAACCACCATGCCAGTAACAGATGTATCATCCTAGAAATTTAGAATGACAAATGCCAAATTCTTTGTAAGTGTGTAAGTGAGCTAAGAATTTTAGTGGACCATTGAAATTGTTTCAAATAAAAAGAAAAAAAAAAACAATTGCAAGAAAAATCAATATTTATTGGAGCTCTAATATGTGTTTTGCATATCCATATAATTCTCTAAAAGTTTTCTAAGTAAGAAAGAATTTTCATTATACTTAAAGGAAACAGCCCTTGACACTCTAAATTATTGGCCTATTTTATTGAAGATAACATCTCTTTTTTTACTAGTATTCTAAAGGTTCAATCTGATGATCTTGAAGTGGTGAATCTAGTTTGTTATTTTTCTCTTCATTTAATAATTTGTATAAAGTCTCATTTTTCTCTTTAATATTGAGAAGAATTGAATCCATAGAGTAGCCAAACTCTATAATGGTCCTGGTATTCTGTCCACATCCATAAGAATGCCCAAAGGCATGCATAGCAACCAATTTGCCAGATGCGTTAAACACTGGGGAGCCAGAGGACCCCTCAAAGAAACAAGTATGATAACTAATTGTGTTGCTGTCCCAGGCCTGGTATAGGAAACTTCTTTTGGTAAACATAGGGCAAACATTACCAGTGGCAGCAAGGGGTTCTACCATCGCACCATAACAATGGTCTCGATACCTTTCTAACCGTTCATTTAGAGAAAGCACAGCACAGCGATCCGTTTGCTTCACCCGCCCCTCTGGATGGCCAATTATATAAACCACACCAATAGATGGTTGATGGGAAATTTGTGCAAACAGGCCTAGAGGAAATGCATTCCCATTTTCCTTTAGTTTAAAAATGGCATAATCTAGAGTTCCATCAGACACTTCAAACCATGGCTCCATGGAAAACCAGTCATCACTATTAGGACAGAATTCTTTGTAAGTGAATGTTACCTTTACACATTTACTAATTGTATCTGGCCATGAACACGGATCTGTGCCTTCACCCACTATCAGCTTTAAAACATGTCGACAGGTGAAAATATAACCGTGATTGAAGACAAAGGAAGTAGCATTGCCTGCATTTCCATTATTGTCCCATTTCATGAACCCAACTGACTTACTATGATAATTAAGTTTTTCAGAGGTTGCAACTGGAATAGAATCCATATTCACTTTTGCAAAGTACTTTTTATATATGTTGAATTGCCGAGACTTTGGCAGATTTGTTCTCTTCCGTTCTTCCTTGAAATACCTTCTCATCAAACTTGTTTCTTCTTTAAAATTTGGATATTGATGCATTATGTGTTCATTTAGTATTTGTAGATTCTTTAAAAGGTGAGTTGCTTTTGGATACCCCTTTTGGATGCCCCGGCGGTTAGCATATTTTTGACCCAGACGGGTGCCTTGCCTAACTACCCGGTTTCTGCCATAACTTGTGTCGTAATGAAGTCTAACAGTGGAAATTGTCCGGCGAATTTTACCTTCAATATCATGCCCTAGACTTTGAGGTGGATGAGTTTTTTCTCTGCTGTGTCCCACATCTTCAGTGTCTCCTTCCATCTCTGGTTCACGGGCCCTTTTCTTAGACTGTGTCAGCCCACAGGGATTGATTTCATCACTGGGATTTTCATCCCGCTTACTTTTTGTGCCTTTCTTGCCACTTGTTTTTCTAGGAATGTCCATTTCTAAGATTTTTCCAGATACTTCATCCACCATGGATCCTTTTCCATAAATTTTATTGTGACCTTCTATTAGGTTCCATGTCAATTCGTCTAAGTCAGACCGAAAGCGGCCATCCTTGCGTAAAGCCTCTGCGACAGTCTCACCCTTCAAGGCATAGACACAAAGTGTACTTCCTTTTTCATGAAGTTTCGTGATCTTAACAAGCTTCTTTATCGTCTTGCCAACAGCAACGACATGAAAAAGAATGCATTCGATGTTTGGATTTTCACATCGACGCAGTACCTGACCCTCTTCTTTCTGGTGACTCTTTCTTCGACCGAAGCTTATATTAAAATGAGATTTTCCAAGCAGGCACTTGAGAGGCATTCCTAAATTTATAAATCCCTTTATTTTTTTTTCTCCATAAACAATAATATCCTCATTTAAATGATCCTCCATCCTTTCACTGAAATGGTCGTTAGCCCTCAGAGCTGAGAAGATGTTCTCATTGGGGTCACCATATGCTGTAAACTCGCTACGGCCCGATTTTCTGGAGGTTTCATTTAAAGTAAAGGTGAAGCAACATTCTTTATTGGTGTTCGAATTTTGATTCTGAATTTTAAGGGCTGCTTCATGCTTGTTGACTTTACTTTTCAGCTTAGAGGTGCTGCTACGCTCTCTTACGTCAGATAAACAGTGATCAACAGGTGTGTCAGCACATGTCTGCTGCAGGGCGGTATCCTTAAAAAAGAAAAGATTAAATATTTTGTAAGAATCACCCTTGATAATCTTTCATGTTTTTCTAATGATAGAACTAATAGATATTCTGCTAAAAATTGGATAAAATTATGGCAAATGAATGAAGGAGAAATAAATCAATTACGATTCTATCACCAGAGATAATCACTCTTTTAATACATTTTGATTTGTTTGCCTCTTATTTTATGCAGATAGAATTTTTTTCTTAAATACTATGCTGCATATGAGTTTATTTTTCACTATGCAATCTGCCAGTGCTTTCACGTGTCATTGAGCAACCTTTGAAATCTCAATCTAAGGGGCTATGTAACATTTCATTGTATAATACTTTTAATCCATTCTTTTACTGCTAGATATTTAGATTGTTTCCAGTCTTTTACTGCTATATATAAGACAAATATTACTATAGAGAGAGCAGTTTAGTCTGTACATCTGAACATTTCTCTAGGTCATATTCCCGGAAGTGGAAATAATGTGGCTAAGGATATAAACATACTTCACAATATCTATACTGCCTAACTGGTGCCCAGAAAAGTTGTATCGACTCACCCTGTTCCTTGTCTACTGTTCCCTGAGGAGCCCAATAATATGGTTGCTTCCTCAAAAGGATTTCCGAATCATTATCTTAAGTATTTGCCAAATAATAGATGAAATGTCATCTAATTTGACTGATTCTCACATTTGCATTTATTTACTTACTAGTGAAACTTCACTTATTTAATATGCCTTGTGGATATTTGAAACAGCAGTTTTCAAAAATTCCTTGTAAACATCTATTTCACCTTTATTCTGTTACCTGGTTTCAAAAGACCAAGGAAATATACTAAAATGATTGGTAAACGACAGGATTGGATACATATACACACACACAAATAAATATAAACATAAATAATCAGTTGGTAGTAGCCTGGGGAACAAGATATTGAGAATGCGATGAAAACGGAAATGAAAAATATTACACCACAGGAGCCATAGTGACTTAGATGGGATTCATTGTGAAATCTGAAGTGTTGGGTCCAGTCTTCATGAATAGAGGGTAAGCCTGGGGAGGGTAAAATCAGGAGAAACAGCTGGGCTTGGTTCGTTCAGGGGGCAGGTGCAATGGAATCGTAGCTGGGCTGCATCAGATTTTCATACCCTGGCATTTTTTAATGACTGAAATATAGCAAAATTTCACTAGGCCCTTGTTTGCCCCTACATGTTAACCACTTGATCCCTGCCCAGCTCCCCTTGTTCTCACAGTAAACATTAACTGCTGTGTAGTTTCCTTGTCAAGCAGGATGAAATCTGTCAGTTTGTTTTGCAGAAGGAATGAGTGCCCTTGAGAAACTGCAACTAGCTGCTGATGTCCCAAAATCTGGCAATTTAAGGTGTTATCTGAGACTAAAAGCAACAGGGACTTCCCCCTTCAGTCCCCTGGACCTCCCCCTTCCCTTGCTACCTAGTGCCCACCCTCTCCCTCCCCTGCCACATGAGACTCCACACTTCGTCCTTTGTTAAGATGGACCTGAGGGATTCTGCTCTCCTCTCACTCTGGCCAAATGAAATAAACCTTTCTCTGTCTCCAGACACCAGCGTCACTGTGTTTGGCTTTGGCTGCACAACGGGTACAGGAGCCTGAATTCGGGGTTCTGCAACATTTCTGGTGACCTTGGCAGGACCTCGTGCCTGAGACTAGATGCCCTGGCTGGGATGGGAATGTACAGGGAGTCTCTTCAGCTGCTCTGCCCAGACACCCTCCTGGCTTTTCTTCCTGCCTTTGACACAATGTTGGCTCAGAGTAGAAAAATGTAAAGGACCTCGGTCTGTTTTCAACTTTACATTTGCCGGGTGAGTCACTGTGCCACAGGCAGTCATGATTCTCTATCACTCCATTTACATTTCACTAAATATTAAAAAGACCCTCCGCGAGAGTGTTGAGAAAATTATTAGACTTCAGCCTTTTGTTTCCTTGTAGAAAAATTAAATTTGGTTTTCTGTGCAAACATTTACTCCTGGTGTTGAGGGGATCCCATGAGGCAATGCGTATAAAGTGCACAACAGACTGTCCTGTCCAGCATATATGACCCTCAATAAGTTATGATCTTGGCCATCCATTTTCCGTGGGACGGGGTCCCTGACCCCAGGAAACCTTAGATCCTGGGATGACTCCACCTGTGGAGAGCTTTAGTCTGGGGAGGGAGAACTCGGTGCTGGAGGTTTCTCTTTGAGGAGCTGAAGGGTGGACAGAGGCCCAGGGCTCCTGGTCTAAAGGTAAAGGTAGGGCAGAGACACTCCTGAGACTCAGAGGTTATAACAGGGAGACTGGTAGGAGCAGCCACCTCCCAGTTCCCTGGGCAGCTTTAAAGCTGTTTAGTGCCAGGATGACTAACCCTGCCTGCCACCCGCTGACCTCTCCAGTTCTCCCCTTGTCTGTGGCCTTGGAGAGAGCAGTGCACTAGCCCCATGGCCTCTTCCCTCCCCCATCCTCCCCATTGCCTTGCCTTCACCCACCTGGTCTTCTTTTTCTCTGAGACTCCTCCCCCACCTCCCAGCCAAAGGGGTACCCACTGAATCAATTCATTCCAGCTCAGGAATATCTGTAAGTGCCCCCTTAGTCACAAGGTTTGGTGCAGGAGTGGGTGAGCTACTCAGCTTGGGACAATACTATGGCAAGGAGAGGTTTTCTCAGGGTACCAGGATAGACTCATCGTCTGGGTACTGAAGCATCTCAAATTACTGCAGCTTTGCTGTCATTATGCAGAAAGCAGCAAGAGGATAACATGAAAAGCACAGCCTAGAGACTGAACAAACACACAAGCAGGTCCTTGAAGAAACTGTGCACTGCCATATTGCAGCTCAGCTAAACCCCGGACTGGCCACTCATGTGAACCAGCGAATCCACTTAATTATTTTCCAATTAGGGAATACTCTTACTGGCAATATAAAAACCTCTTACCGGGATAAAACCTACTGTGATCTTGTACCATACTACCTTATCAGTATAGAAAGCACTATTTGCCTACCACATTCTTATATTTTCTTTATATACCATCAAATCCAGCTATCCTGTTCCCTAAATATGTTTTCATGGGTAGCTGACTATTCTCAGGTCATTGTCTTATCCTTGACCAATTACCTGGTGAAACAGTATTCATTCTTTTTCAAAAAAATCATGACTTTTTGATATAAAAACCTGTACATAATTAGTGTACCCAACTTGATGAGTTGGAAGATAAGTATACACCCATGAAGTCATCACCACAATCCTTGCCATAAACCTATCCATCACCTCTAATAGTTTCCTACTGCCTGCTAATTATTATTTTTGTGACAAGAACACTTAACATAAGATCTACTGTCGGATCAGATGTCTGAATACACAATACAATATTGTTAAGTATAAGCACGATGCTGTACACCATATCTCTATAACTTGTCCGTCTTATATGGAGTAAACTTTGCTACCATTGACTAACACCCTCTGCCCAAAGTCCCTGGCAACCATCTCTACTTCTGTGAATTTAACTATTTTGTATTCACCATCCATTCTTTGAGATCTTTCTCATAGGACATTGTTTTAATTTCTTGAGTGTGAATTCAAGCCTTATTCACTCTATACTAGCACTCGTTTATATCTCAATTTAGCATTATCATTTTGCATATTTTGAGTTAAACAGTATGAGTAAAAAAACATATACTGAAGTCTGACACCTGGGTTCCAGTCTTTGCTCTGAAGTCCATTACTTTTGCAACTTTAAGCAAGTTGGGCTTCACTGTCTTCATTTGTAAAACAAGGATGATAATAATATCTATTGATAGAGTTTTATTAAGTGCTAAATGAGATAATCCATGTGAAATAACATACATAACTTCAGCTTAGATAGAGTTTTCTCAGCAAATATTAGCTATATTATTATTTTTTGCCTGTCTATACTTCCCAGGATTATAAGTGTCTATATCGTCTGCTAGTCACCTTGCTGTCTTAAGACATTTTTAGCATTGTTAATTTATACGCCACCATTTCATTTTTTACAAGCATTTGTATGCGTGATCTCCTCCATATATTTTAAGCAACACAAGACAAGGCATTGTAATGACCATTCTTTAAGAACTTACCGCTTCCAAGAACCTAATCTGGTGCTCTGCTCAGATGCCGCTCCAGGGAGAAGTTGTAAAAATGTACATACCTTTAAAACTTCAGGTCTGGCACCCTGGTCCTTTTCTGTAGCTCCGAATGTCTCCTTCTCTTTAAGATGCATGAAATTCATGATGAGTTGAAAGGGAATATCACTAACTTCTACTAGTGGGCAAGATGGAGAAACAAGGATCGAATTTATTCTCCTTCACCTGAAATGACTAAAACGACAAAAAAAGACAAGATATATAAAACAGAAATTCTCTACCACTGGACATGAGGTAGCACAGGACAGTGATCTGGGATCCCTGAGAGGGAAATCAAATGAGGGAAGCCCTGTGGCTTTGTAGCTCACTGCCTGGAGTTTCCAGGGCATATGCTAGGAGGGGAAACAGGCAGAGCTTGGAAGTTTCCCTGAGTTGAGAAGACAAGCTAAGAGTCCTGGGAGGCCAGGATGGCTGGAGCTTGTAAGGCAGAGTACTAGAGAGAAGAGAGCTACAGCTACACAGACGGAGCAAGTGCCAGACATCTGCAGTGGTTACCCCTTCAGATTTCAGCTAAACAGTGGTCAATGCAGTGCTGGGATGAAACTGCTGGAAGCCAGAAAAAGAACCACCCTAAGAAGCAGAGGATCCAGCAGGATTGAGAATAGTTTTGGGTCCCAAAGTTTCAGACTAGGAAACTTCACACTGTGTCAAGCAGAGGCCTCAGAATGATATTCACTCCATAGTGGGATAAAATGAGCCCTAGACCAAAAGCTTCCCTGGTTCTACCTAATGAAATTTGAAATCAAGCCTTGAAAGTATAAAACAGTTTCTGACTAATAGAACTGTGGACTAAAACAGAACACAAGACTCCTCCATAGGAATGTAACAATTTCTAGCACTCAAAAATGTGAAATTAATAAAGCTTGGTATCCAATCAAAGATTACCAGGCATACAGAGAAGCAGGAACATATGACTCAGAATGAGGAGAAACTGGTGAATAGAAACAGATCTAGAAGTGACACAGATGGCAGAATAGTCAAGAACATTAAAACAGTGTTTACCTTAGATTTCTGGCCAAAATGGATTAACAGGAACTCGATTCACCCCCTAGTTGGAAAACAAAACAAAATGGGCAAAAGATATGAAATAAAGGCTCAAGGAACTGTATCATGCAGTTAAGGACAGAGACAAATGAGGTGCATCCTATGATGCAATGCAGCTGACTCCCTTGAGGAATTCCAGGCCAGGGTGGAATAAGGGCATCAAGGCAAAGCCCCTCGGAATTCCAGATCTGAGGAGACAGATCTCAGAGACCAAGGTGGCAAGAGTTCACAGGTCACAGACCAGGAGAGAGACCAGCACAGAGAGAGCTCCGGATATATGAACAGGGGTCCCCTAAGATATTCAGCTGTGTACTGATCAGAGCAGCAACTGAGGAAACTTCCCAAGGCCAGGAAAGAACCACCCCAAAATGATTAGAGGGGTTAACTTCCCTGGAACCCTCTACCTTCACCCCTCTTAGGGATCTCAGTTTCTCCCTTGGTAGATAAAGGAGTTTGGCTCAGATCAAACTTGTATTGTTCCTGGCAATTATCCCTTCTGAGCTTTTTAAAAAGGAAGACTCCAGATTCCACCCTCAAAGATTCTGATTCAGTACCTGTGGGGTTGTGTTATGGAATCTGCACTTTTATCTTCCTGCCCTCCTCGCCCCCTCCCACCCTTAGGTGAGCAGGAGGTTGTTTTGAACAGCTGCCTAGACTGGGTCCAAGTGTCTTTTCAGGAGGGAACCTCTCCGCATCTGAAACTGGGGAGCGGGAAGGGGGTTCCCACAAAGGGGAGCTGAATAAAACCCCATGCAAACCTCCTGGACTCTGGCTGAGGTCGTGCTGCCTGGCGGGGCTGCCAGCCCTCCCGCTGAGAACTCTGCGACCCACCCAGGCCAAAACACCCACTCACAGAAAGGGAGAGTCTGTCCGTGTCGCGTCCGCGACCGCCGCAGGGAGATTGGCAGGTGCTGTGGCCACTGCGCTTCCCTCGCTGTCTCTGGGCGCTTTGCCCGCTGCTGGCGCCCGCGGGCTTTTAGGGAACCGCCTGGGAGAGGCGCCCCTGGCTCTGGCCAATGGACGGGGAGATCCGGAACCGTTACTCACCCGCTTTTCAAGCCTATTGGCGCTCTCAGCCCCTGAGCAAAGTGGCGGGAAACGACGAGTGTGCGCCCCATGCGCCCGCGGTCGCGTCAAAAGGGCGGGCTCGGGGTGCGGGTGAGGGGCTGCGCGCCCACCCGCCCTATTGATCCATAGGAGCAGGTCCTGGGGTCAGTTGGGAGCCACGCCCGGTACACTGGGGTCGCGGCCAGCTTTTGGGTCCTGGGATAAACTGACCAATCACTTCCCGCCATGGTTTTCCCGCCCAGCGTGCCAGGGGTGGGGGTGGGGTGGCAAGGGGCTGGTGGGGGACGAGGGTCCAGGTGCTGCGCGGGGTGCGTGGGGGACGAGGGTCCGGGCGCTGTGGGGGGTGGGCGGGGGAGGAGGGTCCGGGCGCTGTGCGGGGAGCGCGGGGGAGGAGGGTCCGGGCGCTGGGCGGGCGGGGGAGAAGGGTCTGGGCGCTGCGCGGGGGACGAGGGTCCCGGCACTGTGCGGGGATCGCAGAGAAGGAGGGTCTGGGCCCTTGGCGGGCGGGTGAGGAGGGTCTGGGCGCTGTGCGGGGATCGCGGGGGAGGAGGGTCTGGGCGCTGGGCGGGCGTCGGAAGAGGGTCTGGGAGTTGTGCGGGGAGCGCGGGGAAGGAGGGTCCAGGCTCTGTGTGGGCGGGGTGCGCGGGGGAGGAGGGTCCAGGCGCTGTGCGGGGAGCGCGGGGGAGGAGGGTCCGGGCGCTGGGCGGGCGGGGGAGAAGGGTCTGGGCGCTGCGCGGGGGACGAGGGTCCTGGCACTGTGCGGGGATCGCGGAGAAGGAGGGTCTGGGCGCTGGGCTGGCGGGTGAGGAGGGTCCGGGTGCTGCGCGGGGACGAGGGTCTGGGCGCTGTGCGGGGATCGCGGGGGAGGAGGGTCTGGGCGCTGGGCGGGCGGCGGAGGAGGGTCTGGGAGTTGTGCGGGGAGCGCGGGGGAGGAGGGTCCAGGCTCTGTGTGGGCGGGGGAGGAGGGTCCAGGCGCTGTGCGGGGAGCGCGGGGGAGGAGGGTCCAGGCGCTGTGCAGGGAGCGCGGGGGAGGAGGGTCCGGGCGCTGGGCGGGGAGCGCGGGGGAGGAGGGTCCAGGCGCTGTGCGGGGAGCGCGGGGGAGGAGGGTCCGGGCGCTGGGCGGGCGGGGGAGGAGGGTCCGGGCGCTGCGCGGGGGACGAGGGTCCTGGCGCTGTGCGGGGATCGCGGGGGAGGAGGGTCTGGGCGCTGGGCGGGCGGAGGAGGAGGGTCCAGGCGCTGTGCGGGGAGCGCGGGGAAGGAGGGTCCAGGCTCTGTGTGGGCGGGGGAGGAGGGTTCGGGCGCTGAGCTGGGGCGGAGGGTGCCGGGCGCGCGGGGAACCAGGGTCCGGGCGCTGGGCCGGCGAGGGAGGAGGGTCTGGGCGCCGCTCGGGGCGCGATGGGGATGAGGGTCCGGGCGCTGGGCGGGCTGGGTAGGTGCCAGGCGAGTTCCGGCCTTTCTGGGCTCCACTGACTCAGCCAGCGCGGCGGGCGGGAGCGGCATGGCGGCGTCCGGAGCGGAGGGGCGAACAGCCCGCCTGAGTGTTTCCTGCGGGGCCTTAGCTGCCCTTCTTCCTCTGCAGGATGAGCGGCGGCGGAGGGATAATCAGCCAGGCGCGACCAGGTGACCACAGTGGCGCTCCCTGGAGACCCTGCAGAGCCCTGGGGCCAGAACCTGCTCTGCTGGGTTCCCTTCACCAGCCTCCAGCAGAGGAAAAGGCCCAAAGTGCGCTGCAGCCACTGCTCCTGCGCTGAGGTCTAGCGGAGCTTGGCCTCCCTGGCAAAGGAGCCACCTTCGTGGAGGGGCTGGTGGACATATGTAGACTCTGCCAACCTTCAGGAGCGGCCAGCCCCTGGGGGTGCCGGCTCCCAGGAAGACCATTGCTGTGTGCAGAACTTTAGCGTGCTGATGGAGGACAGCACAGTTAGGCATCCCCAGCTGGCGATCAGGGAAGTGCTTTGCATGGGGCTTGAGAAAACATCTTCCTGTCTAGGAGCCTGAATAGGAGCAGATGCCTTCAGTACTGTTTGCTACTTTGGAGAAGTTGGTCAAAGGAGGGAAGAATACAGGTGACAATGATTTTGTAATTCACAGAACAAATGTTTAAGTAAAAGTTGATAGTGTTGGTGGAATAATCCCGAACGCGATTCCTAACTTAGTGTAAAATATACACAGAGAGTCTAAAGTCACTGCTTAAATCCCAGGTGCTCTGTGGGGTTTGGAAAGAGCAGCCTTCAGAGGTGTAATTGTAAAAGTTGTATCAGAAAGTTAAAAGAAAAGAAACATCATGAAGGGCTTCTCAAATCTCTGCCCTCTCTAAAATCATCTGATAGCAGGACACGTTGACTGGCACCAACATATTCATCAGTGGAGAATGAATCATTGTGGGAGGGAACTGGCTGATCCCCTTTTCCTTGCAGAATCTGCACAATTTAAGAAGCCATGAGAAGCAAGAGATGGCAGAGAATGGTGTTGTCAAAATTGCCTGACATCTCTGGGGACAGAGAATTAGCCCTGGAAAGAAACATACCTTAAGGAGTGTCTGCATGTGCCATTTGCTCTAAGTACCTTGTTGGCCCTACTAAGGAATCTGGGTTTTATTATAAATGTGAAGTTTATTTCAGATGGAGGCAAGAGAGTGATACCCCCTGATTGATATGTCTAAAGATCACTGTGGCAGCTGCATGGGCTACAAACTCTGTGGGAGACAGGAGATGCAGAAGGGAGGACTTGGCAAAGGGTCTATCCCAGGATCCACAGGGGCCAGAGGCCTGGCCTTTGGCAGTAATATGGAGATGGTAGAGATGGTTGGATTCTACATTTATTTTGAAGGCCAAGCCTACAGAGTTTGCTTATGGATGAGGTGTTCCATATATGAGACAAAAATTTAGTTAAATGATGAAAAATAGGGCTTTTGAGTTGAGCAACTGGAGGGATAAATAGTCCATTAACTGCTATAGGTATGTTTGAGGAAGGAGCTGTTGTGTGCAAATAGTAGTGCATGTGCGTATTAATAATCTAGGGTTAACATGTTTACTTGGAGCTAATCCATCCAAGTGAAAGATAAAGAGTGAAGTGGAAGGGTTTACATTCAATACATGAATTCCCAGGGAGGCTTGAGGAGGGATGAGGGATTGAACATGGGAGGGAAAGAATATAGATCAAACTAAAAGAAATAGGGAGAAAGAAGCTTGGAATTTTGATGGTAACGATGTTGGCCATTAACTGAGAGATGTAATTGAGGTACAATAAAAATTAAAAGGGGAACAATGTTCTCTGGGAGATATCTCAGCAGAAGATACATAAAAATGCCTGTGTTTCTTTCCCCAGAATCACTATTTCTTGGCTCATATATTTTTGCCTCCTAAAGACCAGTCTTGTCAGTTTGTAAGGGCACCCCAAGGAGCACATGCTTTCTGCCAGTCCCTGAGTTTGCCTACTTCTTCAGCCTAGCAAAGAGGTGATGTTTCCATTCCCTCTTCATTTGCTACTCACTGGAATCACACTGAATGCCATGCTTGGAATAATTAGCTCATGGCACTGTAGGTGGCAGTCTTCCATGTCCACATTAAGTGTAAAAGTGATCCTCACAAGGAAACTAACTGCCTAGAGCTGGCTGGGTCAGCACCTCTAGGTGCAGAGCAGAGCTCCAGCTTTTCTCTGCTCTTTGTTGCTGTGCTCTGGGAGCTTTGATGGAAACCCACTGCAACTGGGCAGCAATGAAAGGATAGGAAGTGATCGGGGAATCTGTTGAGCCGCCACTGAAGCCTCAGCTTTAGCTGATGTTTGTATGGGGCTGTTGAAATTGTCTAACATCCCTGGGGGCAGAGTGTTTTCCCTGAAAAGGAACATACCTGAACATTCCCTTGTGAGAATCTTGTCTGTATATAAGCAAGCATCCAGATTTTATCCTAAATGTGACAAGAGTACATTTGGCCAAGCAACAAGTGGTTGGGTCATTTTGCTGTTGTCAAACCCATAAAGAGGAAAAGGACACTCCCATGGTTGGGAGAGATAGGAATGGATCAAACAGTAAGGCCAGGTCTGGCAGAGTTAGGAGACAGAGGCAATGATTTTGGAGAAGCCACTCCTTCATGAACCTTTGAAAGATGCTCCCTCACCCCTAAACCAGTAGGCTCATTTCTCTATTTTGAGTTGTAAACAATATGTTCTGGGAATACAGAGGAAGGTGCTACTGCCTCTACCTGGGGAGTGTATCACAGAGAAAGAGAGTTAGATTTGGACTTGGCAGATGAGGGCTGAGTAAGGGTTTGAAAGAGAAGAGGGGACCTGTCATCAGATGTACAAAAGCAAAAGTGGCAGGAGGTATAGGGAGAATTGGCTTCCGGGAAAGGGTTAAAGTTGAGGACGTGGCACCCTGTTCTAGAGGTTGCAATGGGATATGCAGAAGCACAGAAGGGATAGTCTTCTCCTTTCCTTCTCCCACGTGTTTACAGTGGGCTCACCTCACTCACGACTGCTAACAAGCATAGAGCACTGGGGTGGGGTCTCTAAGCTTTCAGCTACCACTTTGAAGCCAGCCCTGAAGTCCTGGCAGCTAAATCTTCCTGTATAGACTGCATAGTCCATCCTATCCTAGAAGGTAGTGAACTCATGAGGAGGGTCACACCTCCCATCTCGACTCCAGAGTCTTTAATGTGGAGGCCGTCAGCAAAATGGGAATTTTCTCTCTCTCTTCAAGAAGAGATATGTCCACTATTCTGCAGGTGGTCCTAGTCTGGGGCCAAGATGCAGGGGTGGGCTAGGTGGTTTTGCCTCCAACCTGGTATAGCAGTACTCGGATATGGATGGGGGCAGTGGAATCATTATTTAGTTCAACCCCTATCCCAATGGGGCTGTGCTTGGCAGTTGGTCTTCTGCAGTTCATTTTCCGCAGTCACCCCTCGGGGTAGGTGTGACTTATGCCGCCATCTCAAAGATTAGGAAA